GTGGACTATCAGAAAACTTGACCCAGTTCCACCAGGTCTGTCAGGAGAAATGGACCAGAACTCCAGCCAACTATTGTAAGAAGGTTGAAGTTTATAGAGTTCAAATGCAACAGAAAAGTATGTAAACTTATTATGTTAAAGACATTAATACATAAACCTGACATATTTTTCATTTTTATGGCATTTAGAAAATAGAAATAATTTTGGTAATTCTAACTGAACTAAAACAAGAGAAGTTTAGTCTGATTTAACTTCAGGAAGTTTATTTGTGTCTTTTTCTTTGGTGTATGTAAACTTCCTCTGTGCTCTCATAATATCGTTAATGATGTTCGAGTTTTCTTCATTTTCTACCTGGGAATAAAAGATAATACCTTGATGCTGACAGAGATTTCACTGCTGTCCATTTCCTCCCTGTCAAACGACGTCACCACAGTCAGAACTCCGGTGTCGGCGTCGATGTTGAAGTTTGCTTGGTAATCGACAGGAGAGACTGAACAGACATACATATTTTAGATTTATATGATTGATTAATGTGCTCCTGTTCTATGGTAAACATGTCTGAACTGACAGTTTTACCACAGCAGGTTTTCTGTACCTGAAGTGATGCTGTATGTTATCGTCTCGTTGATCCCAGTGTCTCCATCTTGGGCCTTTATTGGTTCTGGTCGTATTTCACTGAGATCCCCGTCCTGAAACACAGTCAGTCTGTTCTTCACAACAATTCTGTCAGTTTGAAATAAATTTCTGCTTTACATCCAAACAATAAAATTCACATAACCACTAAATGAGCCTCACCTGGTTCTCTGGAACAACAGCCTGGTAGAGACTGTGGCTGAAAAAGGGATTTAAGTTGTCAAAGTCTTCTACAACGATCTCAACTGAGGTTGTGTCGTTGTTTCCGCCATTGTCCTGCAACAGGAACAACAAAGAAAGGGATGATATATTCATTATAAGAGTTAAATAAATCAGAGTGTATAAATATAGTTTGTTTCTGTGTTTTCTTACCGTGGCAGTGACAATAAAATTGTACTTTGGTACAATGCTGTAGTTCAGAGGGTTCGTTAATGTAAACGCCCCGGAGTTTGATAAGGAAAAGTCTGGTGTTACTGGAGTCTAGAAGGAGAACAATGGCATCAATAGTCAGTGATATACAGAACATTTGTAGAAAACCAAAATATACTTAACTTTTTATACACTTAATTATCATAAAATTAGAATGTCAAAAGTTTGTACAGCAAATTTTTTTATTTGTGCCTTTATCTTTTTAAAAATTTCAATAAACATTTTCCAAAGGTCATAAGAGGTCAACCTGCACGCACAACATTAACAAAATAAAACTATTGCTTTTGTGCCGCTAAGATTT